GGGGTCAAAATCCGTTTATGTATCAATAAGGCATATATAGCTAAGCACGGCACAATAAACAAGAATAAAAGCTACATTAGCCTACAGAATAGATACACTACATCAAAAATAAAAATACATTAAGGAATATATTGAGTATTTTGATTGTAGGTTTGTAGTTATACAGAAAAACAGCAAAAAACGGTATAAGCAGTGCAATACATGTTTACTGTCGTAAACACAGCAGTATCGACGGCTTTGCACGAATCTTACAAGTCCTTTTCAAGACAAAGGAGGCAGTGCTTTTTGGCCGCAACAGACGCCAACTACAGCAGCAAATGGTTCGTGTTAGCCATAGTGTTAGTATATTAATGGAAAGACCGCGTATTGCGATTTTATAAATAAATCATATTCTTGCAGCATTATACGCTTTCTGATGTGCGTAACATTTTGTATTTTGTGAATCTAAAAACAATGTACACTGCACTATAATACACTTAGTTTTTAAAAAATAAATAAGAGAAATTCCTTACTGGCTTGCCGTCTCCAAGTATTGTTTTTAAACCATCGAAATTGTGGATGTTCGAGATAACGCTGGCGGAAAGGTTTTATCAATCAATGAGGGAGCGTACAACTCCTCTCGCCATTCGAGCAATATTTCGACAGCCACCTTAAAACAAGCAAAAAACACTGATTTAATAATTCTTGAAATACACAGAAATACGATATATACGATAAACTTTCATGTCCTGAAGAGAGAGAATATGGAACTTCTGTTCTTCGAAACCGAATCTTTGTGCAGATTTCAAACTTTTGACATGATGTATTTTTTGAACTTTGCACATCATTCGCTAACGTCTTCTTCCTCTTCTCAATTTCTCAGATTGCTCTGAAGTATAGAAACGAACGGACCAGAATCAGCTGATTCGTTGTGATGAACAGATTATCCTTCGTAGGCAAATAACTTAAATGGCCTATACTGCAGCAGTGAACCTTGCCCAATATTAACCTGCGATGTCATTTCTGAATGTAAAATACCGTAAATCCGGGCTACACTGCTGTTTAAGCTCTTGTATCCCGTTGACAGAATAATAACTTTCGTAGCATGTCGACAACGGCAGAAACACTAAAGCAACAGGTGCATTTGAACTAGAATCTCAAGTACGAACTGTGCACGTTTAAGAGTCGGAAAGTTGAGTAATTATCTGACAGTTTATAGGCTACACACTGGCAGATGAGAAACAGGCTAGAGGGAAACGAAAATCACCACACTATACAGGTCTGAAACATTCGCAACATTTTCTTCCTCGTATCAAATCGTTAAATGCTAAGCAATGCGTGACCACCCGATAAGGTATACAGAAAGAGCAAAAGCACGTCTGAGCGAAAAATGACAAACACCAGTCAGGTAAATCAGTAGGTTCTACTGATATAATCAAATATTTGCAACAGTTTTAAATCTGATATAGAGGATTAGCATTAATTCGAAAATGACAATGTACTGCTTGAAAATAATTGCAAAAAAAGCAATGTTTTAGGCACAGACAAAAGACATTATTTGAAATTGCTTAACGAATAAAGAGATATTAGAATTAAAGCAAATAAGAACACAGACAAAAAGTACAACCAATAGCCAGCATTGTACAATGGTCCCAACAAATGTTTACAGACTCTGGCAAAGATTCTGGAATCTTCAACCTTAACCTATAAGGGAAATGCTCAGTGAACTGTCTAAAAGTTAAGGCTCCGCAAACGACGAGGTAAAGCAACACTGAGCTGCAGTCAAGTAAAAAACTTGAATAAATTGGAAACTGGATCGAAAATTCCGGAATTCGACTGCATGCTCATTTAAGGAACGCATGCTATATATATATCATATACGTATGAATAAGGCATGCGACTTCTTTATGTGGGAGGTGATATAATTCCCTGGTAAGTCACAAATGAGAAGACAACGCATAAACTGTTGTTTAATTTACGGCCATCTGACGTTCCGGACCAAGCTCAGTCCGTCTTCAGAGTACAACAGAGCCCTCTTAGACGACTAAGCCATCTCAAGACCCAGAAACCTAAGGAACAGAAAGCCGGTTGGGTAAACCAACTGCCGTGCACCTGTGGTTTTTATATAGGCGAAACGGGTAACCCGGCTGAAAAAAGGAAGACAGACCACATGAGGAATCTGATCAAGTGGAAGAACGCTAAGAGAAAAGGATCAAGATCATCAGGAAGTCGGCAGAGGGCAGAGACAGACGAAAAACCATGAACTCAAAAGCAGAATGCAACAAAAGTTATGCCATTATGGAACATGTTGTTACCCATCAGCATAACATCGTAGGATAAAATGAAAGGTGTCGCACCATAACATCTTTCCCGCAAAGATAAGGAAGGGTTATTGATCTGAGCAACCAACTACCAATCGTGACCTTGGAACAGATGTCAGCGGCACATGGACCGCAAACATTAAGTGGCTGATTAAGAATAGAAAGTAAACGCGGCCCCATTACTCTTGCGGGTCTAGCCGTATAGTATGCATAGTAGCGACGAAGAAAATGGTTGGAAAAATTTACAACTGCGTCCGCACGAAACAGAAACTAGGTTGTGACTTCAGTGTTTGCCGAAGAATTACCGAAATGCATAACAGCTGATTAAGGACATTCGCGAGAAATCCGTCCAAAATCAGACAACAGAGCAAACCTTGACAAAACGAGCGCTCACCTAACACAGACAGACAATCAAATCGATATTTACGTGTAGAAACGTTCTCTGCCTAATTCTGAGAGCTGTTTACACAGGAAATGTACTGCCTCCACATTGTACGATAAAATTCTTGGCACAGGGCAAAATACGACCGCGTACGACTACAGTACATTACCAACGCTTATAAAGCAAGTGTTCGATTTTCAGGTACTTATCGACAGGTCCAATTACAAATTACTTAAGCTTGTTGCACAGCAATGGGAGACATAAACGCATAATCTGTGCCAAGCCATACTTTCTGACATAATACTTGATAGAAAGACCTGTGATATAATTTCAGTGCAAAAATTTGTCTCTATAATCTAAATATTCGAAACATAGCACATGAAAGAGAGGAACAGCACTACCAGATTTGAAAATGCAGCATTTTTCACCGAAATATTGAAATTTAAAGAAGTATAATCGATGGCGGACTGTGGAATGTAAAACTAATATTCAGTTAGCAAAAATCTTCAGAGTAAGCTCGACAGAACAGGATCAGTTGCCAAAACGCGAGAATAACAATCAATGCGACTTAAATAGTAAAATCCAGTGTGAAAATGGATTCGTAAGAGGCTGAACAGAGTCTTTCCGTAATAATTGTTCCATTTCCTTTGGATCGATGAAACATCGCAGGGCGAAAGGGAGTAACCTGCGGTAGGCGTGGCTCTCAAACTTACATCGAGCGTGTAAAACTTTAGCTAACTTTGTATCGTCGAAAGCAAGATGAAAACATTGGCACAGAATAAATTCAGTCACATAAAATAAGAAAGCATGATCATTATCTGCGTCAAATATGCTGTTGGGATGCAGTCAAACTTGTCAGTACCGCAATTGCACAGCGCATCAATGGTCTGATAAACTTTTAGATGCGAGAATGGCGTTTCCCTGAAGACAGCAGGAACCAGGTAATAAATGAAAGAATGTGCCTGCTAGTTTCAGTGACCCAATATCTTTTCGGATAGCTGAAAAAATGCGTTATTTCCAACGGTTCCTATTCTGTGCCTGCGTCAGAGTTTAAGCAGACCACCAGTTTGGCATAAATTCGAAACACTTGCAAGAAACTATGCCTAACCGTCACAAAGTCCTCGGCTAGTCGGTTCTACAAGTAGAGGCAGTTTCACCCTCATTTCTAAAACATCATGCAACGCGTAAAATCCGTCGCAGCCTTGACATCTTCAACTGGATAAGAGCGTTCATTAAATCTACAATGACGAATCAATTGATTTATGGCGATCGTCGCAAACCGAACAATCTCTGATGCGCTTACTGACTTTCGTTTGTATTGCAGTGGCACCAATGCCCATATAAAAAAATTCATCCCACATTTAATACGGCGGGAAGGAAACACCTTTCCAGAATTTGCAGTTTTCGACCGATGTGGCAGCAAAAGATAGGTAAATCATACAATGTACTATTGACGTTGTTTCGTAATGATTCTTTTTGTTCAAGGTGCCACTGAGTAAGAAATAACACTGAACTCGTGAACAAAAGATGGTACCGTATTTTCGAAACTTTCATGCATAGTAGGTTAACGAGTGCATGCAGAATAATTAATTAACGTGCGCAGAT